CTCAGCTCCCCAAAGGATTCTCTCTCCCCGACCTCGGCTTTCCCCCTCCTTGCCGCTCCCTGGCCGAATTCGACCCCCGCCCTTATTTGGACGAAGGGAGCTCAAGCGCGCCTGAAGAGGAGGAAGAAGGAGGAGAAGAAGACGGCCCAGGCGATCAAAATCCGGGGGCTAGCTTAGCCACATCCAAGGCGGGTGACAACCCTAGCTTAGCCATCGGTGAAACCGCCGCCACTACCACCAAACCCCTATGATGACTTCAGCGAAGCATACAAGGCCCTCTCCGCCAACCACCTGCCTGACGGAAGGATTGACTGGGACGCTCCATGCCCCCTCCATTCCCTGCAATGCATGGCCTGGGAGAGCTTTCAAGATGAGCACTTACCCCTTCTGGAGCATGAGTGCGCATACTATGCCAGTCTTGAGCGATGGACTGGCGAAAGTCGCACCAGTTCGCCGGTGAGGCCTAAGGAGGAGGTTGTGTTGGGGGAAGAACTGGGTTCCAGTCCACCTCGCCCCTCCGACCGTGCGACTTCCCGGAGAACCCGTAGGCGACCTGGAGTAGCTCGATCGGCTTCAGAATCTCCATCCTCATCTAGGTGATGCTGGTTGGGGTTCTGGGGGCGACCGACCCTGTTCCGCGTCGGGGAAGAAAGGTGGTCGTCCCGGACGGCCGGTGATCGGAGTTTCGCCGGCCCATGGAGCTGCAGAACTACCCTTCAAACCTGCCTGTCCCCCCTAGGCCTTTTGCTCGCAAAACTTTAGATTGTTCCTTTTGCTATAGGAAAAGTATGGAAAAGTATCCCTCCTTTATGTAGAGATTGTTCTCAAACGTATTGTAGCAGATGCAAAAGATTATCCTTGGAATGTAACAAAGACTTTTGTGAATGTATTTTGATGTTACCTGTTTACTTACAAGTCCCATCTTCTCCTCTTTCGCATCCCACTTTAGACGTTCAGGTTTCCTCTGACTTAAGTCAGATAACACCTCGCCTTTTTTGACTTAGCCATTTCCGGGGTATTTTAACCTCCTTCAGGGTCGTCATATCTCCCAGACCCCCTAGTCGCTCATGCGACCAGCAGGCCTTTACATTCCTGACTTAGCCGTTTTCTTGGGCTCCCCTGCCTCGGCGTAGCCTTCAACCTTGGTCGCTTGACAGGGTTCGACGCTTCGCCCACTACTGGGTATCTTAGCACGGATCACCATGCAGTTTAGGCTTAGCGATCTCTTTCGGTCGCTCCTTTTTTTTTTGAGAATTGAAGACAAGATATGCCAGAATGCTGGTTTTATTAAATTTCAAGATAGAAGCATAGCTGGGATACAATCTACTGATAGAATTTAACAAGGTTGGCGGCATTCCACACTCGAGGAACGTCGCCGCCGGCTGGAGTTTGCAATCTAAACGTCCCATCAGCCAATGCCTCCTTTTTGATGTATGGTCCCTCGAAGCTTTTAGCAAACTTCCCTCCATCGGTCGGTCGGCTGACTTCCCTTTTCCGAAGGACCCAGTCGCCCACCTGGAACTTCCTTGGTCGTACCCGCTGGTCGTGATATGACTTGACCTGTCGGCGATAATTTTCTGCTCGCATATATGCCCTTTCCCTTCGCTCATCAACGAGGTGCAGTTCTGCCCTCAAATTCTCCTCATTCTCTTGTGCATCAAACGTCTTCACTCTATAGCTCAACAATGAGGTCTCTGCTGGAGCCCTTGCTTCAAATCCATATGTGAGCGAGAAAGGAGTTTCACCTGTGGCCTTCCTTGGGGTAGTCCTGTAGGTCCACAAGATGTAGGGCAATTCCTCCACCCAGACACTTTTGCATTCCATTATTTTCTTCTTGAGTCCGTCCATGATGGTGCGATTGGTGTTCTCGACCTGTCCATTGGTTTGAGGGTACCCGACCGCTGCATAGCTGTGACCTATGCCCCAACTCTGTAGAAACACATTGAACCCTCCGGCCTCGAATTGGGTTCCGTTGTCAGTGATGATCTGCTGAGGCACCCCAAATCGACACAAAATTTGCTTGGAAACGAACTTCGTCATCTGTTCTGCAGTGATGGTCGGTACGGGGGCGGCCTCGACCCACTTGGTGAAGTAGTCGATTGCGACCACCAGATATGTGTTGTTTCCCGTTCCTCGAGG